GGGGTGCTGGGTGCGGTGGGCGCCAGCGCGGGCTGCGGCGCGGGGTCAGGGGAGGGGCGCCCTCTGCGGGGCGAAGGCCCCTCTGCGTGAAACCATTTCCGTTCCAACAGTGAGCGAACAGAAAGAAATGGCACCTCCGGGCCTTCAGGTGAGCCGCGCTTCTCTGGCCTCCCCCTGGCCGGGCCACCTTTGGCTGGGCATCTCCTCCCTCGGGCCATTAGGGTAGCAGACGGGGCCTGGTGCTGAGCCCTGCAGGGGCGCAGCCCTCACGCTGCTGTTATCCCACTTCTGCAGACAGGGAAACTGAGGCACGAGTTAAGTAACAGCTGGTGGGGCATAGAGTTGAAGCCTGACCCCCCTGCCCGGCCCTCTGCTGCCCTGTTTCATCTGCAGTTTAGGGTATTTGGAAACTGGATGAAACAGCAGGAATTTTATGAAAGTTTTACGCATACCTCTTGGTTTCTAGTTGTGTCCTTACTCACAGGAGGTGGGTATAGTTCTTACCGTGGGTCCCTGTCGGGTCATATCAAGTCTAGGGGGACTCCGAGCTGTCCGAAGCCTGTGGGGTGGGGGGGTCATACAGAGAGCAGGCTGGAGAAGAGGTGTCTGGAGGGACAGACAGAAGACAGGCCTGGGACAGCACAGGGCAAGGAGGCACCACTCTTCATGCTGAGTCAAAGGTGTGTCCAGCTTGGTCCACTCCGGCCACCTGTCAACTGCAGACCCTCCACCGCCTGCACGGAGCCCCTCCTGTACAGGGTGGAGGGGGTGCACTTTGACCCCGACCTTGCAGCCAGTCCAAGGGCGCAGGGACAGGGAGGCGGGGAGGGCCATGACCTTGGCAGGAACCCCTGAGCCTCAGCATGTTCTTTTGAACATAATAACTGCATCTTATCTGCACTGTTCATCCCTTCAAAAATATTTTCAGTTTGGCTTTTTTTGCTTATTCTGCACAATTCCAGCAGCTGGCTGCCAAGGCGCTGTGGTCCCTGGAGACATGATGGGCCCTCCCCCCCTTGCCCTCCCTTACCCTCGCCCTCCCTCATCCATCCCCAGGGTGGGGCGAGGCCTTGCTCCCCTGGCGGCCCCCCGCAGGCCTTGGGGCAGTGGAGCCCCTGCCCCTGGTCTGTGGATCAGGGTCAGGGGTCAGGGACGCACTCTGCAGCCCCCAGAGCCCCTCTGCTGGCCGGGCTCCGAGCCAAGACTCAGCTGGCTTGTGTTTTCAGATTCGAGGTGGGTGCTTGGTGCACAGAGGAAGGGGCTTGTCCGCTGGGGAGCCTTGACCTCCGCAGGGAGCCTCAGCCAGCTCAGGACCAGGTCCCTGAGAGGGCGGAGGGTCAGCCTGGCCCAGCTTCAGGGATGAGTTTTTTTTTTTCACATTAAGGAAAACCTTTTTGTTGTTGTTAATTCTCACCAGAGAATTTTTTTCCCCTTGATTTTTAGAGAGTGGAGGGGGAGGGGGGGAGAGAGACATTGACGTGAGAGAGACACATCCATTGGTTGCCTCCCCCACGCACCCTGATGGGGGCCTGGGATCGAACCTGCAACCCAGGTACATGCCCTTGTCAGAGAATTGAACCCGAGACCCTCTAGTGCTCAGCCAATGCTCTAACCACTGGGCCACACTGGCCAGAGCTGAAAAACTTATTTTATTATCACCTCTTAAGTCTTCGTTTATGTGTCCTATTTTTATTGATTCTTAATCAACATTTATATCTTTTTTTTGGCTTCTGTGTGTCATAAAAGTGGTCCCATATCTCTTGGTCTTCAGCATCCTGGGTTTCATGGCTACAAGTGACCTGGGGTACTAGTGTTTCTCAGTGTTTTTCTTGGCCTAATTTACACTTGTACTTGGCCTTTCTGTGAGATGGGAGGAAGCAGTCTGAATGGGGACAGTGCCCCCCCCAATGTAGCCTGTCTGGGGCGGCCGGGGTGAGTCCACACGGGGTCCATGGAGGACTGCCGGGTGTGAGCCTGTGTGGGGCCAGCCTGGTGGCACCTACCTGCCTTCAGGACACCCAGCTGCCTTCCAGCCAGCCCCTCACAATGCTGAACCCTCCAACCCATAGATCTGGTCTCAGGGAAAGTTTGTTGATAATCTTAACATATTTTATAAACTCTTTGGGGTTGGCAAAAAGCCGGGCTGTGTTTTGCCAAACACACTTTGCCCTCGACTTTTAAACTGACATGTTTTTTTAAGGGAAACATAATCTGCAGTTTCTTCGAGTGTTTATTTAATTCGCACAAACATTATTTTCTTAGAGGTCTATCCAAGAAGACTGAAAAACATTTCTTTCTTTTAAACATTTTAAAAAATTTGTTTGAGAGAGAGAGAGGAGGGGGGGTAGGAAAAGAGAGAAACATTGATGTGAGAAACATTGATTGGCTGCCTCCTGACCAAGGATCAAACCCTCGACCTTAGCATTTCAGGACGACGCTCTAACCAACTGAGCGACCCAGCCAGGGCTCTGGTTCCCCTTTTTTTTTTTTTAATCCTCACGTGAGGATATTTTCTTTATTGATTTTTAGAGAGAGTGGAAGGGGGGGAGAGAAACATTGATGTGAGAGAGAGACATCCATTGGTTGCCTCCTGCACACACCCTGACCAGGCCAGGGATCGAACCTGCAACCCAGGCATGTGCCCTTGACGGGGAATCAGCGCCCCGCTCCCCCGGTGTGCTCGCCGACGCTCTGACCACCGGGCACGCCGGCGGGGCTCTGCCTCCGCCCTGTGGGGACACCTGTGGTTGCGTCTCGGTCCCGGCCCGATGACCCGGGATACTCCCCTCGTCTCAAGAGCCTTCCCTTAACTGCGCCTGCAGATGTGCCTTTTTCCAAGGCAGGTAACGTTTCCAGCGCCCAGGAGTTGGGACCTGGTGTCCCGCCACCCCCGTGTTTCTCCCCGAGCGTGGGGACAGCTAAACCCAGCGCTTTTTCCTGTCTGCACCACAGCCCCACGAGGTGGGCGCTGTTACCCTCCCCGTGTCAGAAGGGAAACCGAGGCAAGGAGAGGCGAGGTAACTGGCCAGTGGGCGGTCAGGAGCAGCTCCGGGGTGCTGGCCCCGAAGGTCATGCCCTTGGCCTCTCTGCTTCCTGGCCCCTTACCACTGGGTTTGTTGAATGACTGAGTAAATACCAACCAGTAGCTGAAAAGTGTGTAAAAGACCGAAAGGTGGTGGTAAAGGGGGAATAAAAGGATTTGGGGGGCAGGGTAAGTGCCCCCTGAGCTCTCCTGGTACCCCACAGACTCTCCCAGACTTAACTTGTCATTTCTTTTTTTTTTTTTTTTTTAACATATCTTTATTGATTTCAGACAGGAAAGGAGGGAAAGAGAGAAAGACAGAAACTTCAACCGTGAGAAAGTCATTGATCGGCTGCCTAGCCGGCAACCCGGGCCTGTGCCCTGACGGGGAATCGAACCGCGATCTCCTGGATCCTAGGTCGATGCTCAGCCGCTGAGCCACAACAGCCGGGCCTGACTAGCCCTTTGAAATGACAAGTTAAGCCCGACCGGGCGTGGCTCAGCGGTTGAGCATCAACCTAGGATCCAGGAGATTGGGGTTTGATTCCCCGTCAGGGCACATGCCCGGGTTGCGGGCTCGATCCCCAGTGGGGGGCCTGTAGGAGGCAGCCAATCAACGACTCTCATCATTGATGTTTCTCTCTCCTCCCCCCCCTTCCTCTCTCTGAAATCAATAAAGACATAGAACAAAGGGCTAGTCAGCCCTGGGCTTGTCTCCAACGCCCCCTACCCCCTGCTTTCCTCCCTCCCTCGCCGTCTGGAGCATCCTTCCCGGAGGAAAAGCCCCCGAGCTGCTGTGCCCCGTGGGCTCACGTCGGCCTCCCCTTGTCCGCAGGACACGAAAGCTACGTGACCTTCTGCCAGCTGGAGGACGAGGCGGCCTTCACGTGCAGCGCCGACCGCACCATCAGGAAGTGGGACGTGCTGACGGGGCAGTGCCTGCAGGTGTTCCGGGGACACACGTCCATTGTGAACAGGTCAGCGCGGCCAGGGGGCCCGGGCTGCGGGGCCCCAGCGGGCGGAGATGTGGGCCCTGCAGGAGCGTAGCTTCTCCCAGGAAGCCCAGGCGTGGACGTGAGGGTTGGGCATCAGGAGCACACGGCGGCGGAAGGCTCAGGGCCGAAGTGTCCGCAGGTGTGACAAGTGCTGACCGCTCAGGGCTGCAGGTGGGGGTGGGGAGGCCCAGCTGGGGAAGGGAGGCACCAGCAGCAGGTTGACCTGGCTGCTTACTGCCCCCTGCTGGGCACGGGGAAAGCCATCGGAGCCCACAACTCCTAGGATGGGAGGGGTTCCAGAGGAAGTGGCTTAATTGGCACCTGATGGTGGACCAGGGCCTTGCAGGAGCGGTCGTGGGGATGGCTCTGAAGATGGAGCCCAGGGTATTTTTAAACCTCTCCTTTCCATGTTGCACTTGAAACTCTCCTCCCCTCTTTACCATCACCCCCCCAGGCCTCGGTTCGAATTTTTCTGTATTGAATTTGGGTCTGAGCTGAGCCATGGAAATGCCTTTGCTGATCAGATCAGTTTGACACCGTTTATGTAACTGCGGCCGTTTCAGACTCCCGAGGGACTGCCCCGAGTAAGCGGGAGTCTGGGCACCGGCCTCTGGCTTCCTGCTGCCTCGCTGACCAGGAGGGGCACCTGCCTGGGAGGTAAACTGTGTAAGGAAAGGCCCAGTGCAGGCGGGAGTTTGGGGGTTGGAGGGCTGGGCTGGTGAAGAAGAATGTTCCCGGCCAGAAGGGACGCTGCCAGCACAGGCTTACACATGCCAGGGTCATCCTTGGGTCGAGGTCCTGGTGACACCTGACTGGCCTAATGGTCAAGCGCCTGGAAATGGCCAGACTGACCATGAACTGACCGAGTGCCAGCTGCCTGCAGTCGGAACGGCGCACGCACCGGGCAGGGACTCAACGATACCCCTAAGCAGAAAGACAGTAGAGTTGTGTTGGCTTAGGGTGGTTCCGAGTGGAGACGCCAGGCCCCCCGCCTTCCAGTAGCCCAGCCCAGCCTTTGTCCCTCACCCTGAGGGAGAGCGGGGAGGCCAGGGCCAAGCAGACAGGTGGTAGGGAAGGGGCTAGAATTAGGGCTCTGGACTCATGGCTCCATGGCTCCTGCTGGCCTCTGCCCAGCACTTTCTTTCTTTCCTTTTTTGTTTTTGTTTGTTTTGTTTTGTTTTGAGAGGGAGAGAGAGAGAAACATCTATTTGCTGTTCCACTCACTTATGATTCATTGGTTGATTCTTGTATGTGCCCTGACTGGGGGTGGAACCCACAACCTCGGTGTGTCAGGGTGACGCTCTAACCACCTGAGTTCCCAGCCAGGGCCCAGCACACTTTCTTGAGAAAGACGTCTGTGATTGAGGTAAAGTGTGGGCCAGGGGGAGTCTCCTTTTGTGAGGCTTGAGTGGCTGCAGGTGCTGACAGGTGGGAGGAGGCCACGCCTCAGGTGACCAACTTGCTCTCAGGTTGTGCCCGGAAACTATCAGCTGCTCCCCAAGAGGAAATCTGGGCAATTGGGCTAGAAATTAGGCTCTGCCAGGGCCAGACTTGCCCATGTGCACACACACACTCACTACTTTTAAGCCGTAGCTCTGGGAAGTTATTTGCATTACTAAGTAACGGTGCTCACAAATATTTGTCACCCCCCTAGGAAAGGATATGGAATTCACCCCCCCCCCC